TGCCCTTACACACACACACACACACACACACACACACACACACACACACACACACACACACACAGCAAATGTTTTTCATGCAGCACATTCAAAAACATGTCTCTTAGAAAACAGTAACGTGGTAACAGAGATGCTGAAAGCAACATAATGAATCCCTTAATGTCTTTCTGCCTAATTTGGTCAACTCCAAGCCAAACTGGGTCTTAGCTCTAACTTCTGTCATGGAATTACTGGAGTTGCATCTGGAAGCACTCAAAGCTTTGCAAACGCTAGTATATAATTTGCCTTACACATGGCTCACCACAATTTTACAACCATTTTCTAAACAGTTCTATTTACTCAGTTTTTGTCTTGGCACGAGGCGTGAATGGGCATTGACAATATATTAAATAATTGATGGTATTTTGAAGAGATGGTACAATACCACTTTTTTATGTCCGATACTACTATCATAAATTTTGATATCTGCCAATACCGATATGAATCCGATATAGTGTTTTTCTAATCAATAAAACTGTTTTTTAATTCTTGCTGTCATTTTGTACTAAGTTCATACTCAAGTTTAAAAAAACAAACAAAAAACACTAAAGCTACTTCTTTATACTGTATGCAAAAAATACACTGCACCCAAAATATTTCATAGTTCAGCAATACTGATCAATCTTTATTTTAACTTTTAGCAGAACCTTTAACCTAATATTTAAAGTAATAAAAGTAATAATGAAGTAATTTATATAATATATGTATGTAATATATAAAGTAAAAATAAAAAGTAATTTATAATGCAATTTTATGTAGATTTAAAAAAACTCTGGTTCTGAAAAAATAAGTATAAGCGCAATATCAGTACAAATTAATGTTTCTATTCAACAACTAAAGAGTTGTAGAATGGACCCTTTTATACTTAAAGCTTAACATAAATAGACATCCAGAGTGGAAAGCAGTGCAAATAAATGCAAACACAGCTTCATGACACTCATCTTTCATCAAGATGGATGTCAGTGTAAGCTGTTTCTATCATATTTAACCTGAATTTTGTGTAATTTCTATTCAAAACTGTGTTTTTCATAAATTTATTTTAGAACCACAAAACACACAGACATTGGAGCTCTGTATATTGGTTGTTGAGCTTAAGGTGGGAATGCTTTACAAACGTTCAGAGAAGAACTTACACACCTGCTTTACTTGTCTGGGTTGGCCTGCTCGAAGATGAAATGCTGGTTTGGCAGCACAGACTGAGACTCCAGATGCTCCAAATGCTTTCAGTGTGAAGTAACTCGCTCTATCATGTGACGGACACTTCTCACTACCTGGATTATGTCATGTCATAAGTTTTGTGAGGTGCTTTTGTGATATTTAAAGGATTGGATTACATTTTTTATTTCTCCCTGATCTCCGACTCCGAGTAATTTAGGTCAGGATCAGACTGATACCGATGCTGTATATTGGATCAGTCTGTCTCTAGTAGATACAACCATGGTCTCGCAGAGAATCATACCCACACCTATTCCTTCTATATGGAGGTCTCTGATGAATTATTAGTTGAAGGTGTGGGAAACGGGGAGACCAGGAAGGCAAATCTACAGAAAGGGGCGTCCCAAATCATTTGTGCAAGATGACCCCAATCAGTTGACAGTCACTGGGTGAGGCAGTGGCCTTTTTGATTATTGTGTTATTATTTTATTCTATTTTAAATTAAGCTAAAAAAGATGTGCTCAAATGAGGAAGAAGAAAAGAGAACAGAATATTTAGGGCTGCCAGGACCTTCAGTTGTTGTCTTTGATTGTTGTTTATTATGCTGAAAAACAAGGCCCAGGCAGACTGAGGCTTGAAGGTGATTTTAACTGATAAATAACACAAGTAGGATTCAAAATTCAATTCATAAGTTAAATAATATTTTTTTTATAATATCTTTATTCTGTCTTTATTTACTCATTCCTTTGACATTACTCCAAGATGTCACTAGGTGGCGCATGGCGCTAAGTAGAAATGGAAACCCCCTTAGAGGCAAGCGTGTCAAGCTGTACACAAGCTCATGTTCTGTCCCTCTTTATTATAATATACTGGCAACATAACCCTCATGAAGGCACCATCCATACATAATTTTAGGGGCTCTGCTAATGTTAGGATCTTTTCAACGGGGGAATATGAGTGCTAAAACAATGGGATCAGATGTAAAAGTAGCCATTATGGAGCCTGAGTGCTCTGAGTATCAACTCTTTCTCATTAGGAGAATGTGGGAGGCATAAACTTCTCATAATATGCACATGTAAATATCACTCTGGTATTAAGGAACTTTAATGGAAATGAAAGGCTCAGATCAACCATGTCAATCTGCATAAATCTGCATAAGTGTTGCTGTGTGGGAAAATGTTTGCACTGCTTCATGATGTACTTATACATGTATTGAAAGGTACTGCCAGTACTACAGAGGCACTGACTTGTAAATTCGTCTCTGCACACTTGCAGTGTAATATGTATAAGGTACGCATTGCTGCAACATATAGTTACATTTCCACTGCAGATTACAACTGATTTAGTTTATTGCTATGAATCAAGAATAAAAAAGTGAATGTGAAATGACTACAAGTTGTGTTGAAGGCAGCACTAGTGTGACTTTCTGGTTATAAATGGAATTACTGAGGTTTAACCCATATAACAGCAGCTTTGAAAACTATTTAGAGTTGTTTCAAGTCTGTTTTTGTGTCTGATGCAAAACATCACTCAGCTCAGTGTTTGTCTCCCTTTCTTTTTTTTCTTCTTCTTCTTTTTTATTTATTTATTTATTTTTTGTTGCCTGTCCTGTTTGGTTTTTTAGCCGTCAGAATTTATCTCTGAAAGCCAACAAATATACCCAACGGATTTGCTTTGCCAAGTGAATCATCACAGCCTTGTCATTTTGGTCCATTTGATCGACCTTTGTTGTTGTCATTTATTTTATTTGGTTTTCAGTTGTTGCTGAGGACAGACATGGCTGGGGAAAAAGGGAGAGAGAAAGATGAAGGAGCAGAAAAACAGAGAGGAAGGACACTTAAAAGAAAAAAAAATCTCCTGGATCACTTGTTGAGAGAGAATAAAAAGAGAGAACAAAAAAAGACAGCAACATAATAAACACAGCACCATTGCATTAATCTAGATAACAGTAAATAAAATCCATCCATCCATTCGCTTATCCTTTTCAGGGTCGCGGGGGGCGCTGGAGCCTATCCCAGCTGTCATAGGGCAAGAGGCGGGGTACACCCTGGACAGGTCGCCAGTCTGTCGCAGGGCCAACACACAGGGACAGACAACCATTCGCACTCACATTCACACCTAGTGACAATTTGGATTATCCAATTAACCTATCCCCACAAGCTGCATGTCTTTGGACGGTGGGAGGAAGCCGGAGTACCCGGAGGGAACCCACGCAAACACGGGGAGAACATGCAAACTCCACACAGAAAGACCCCGGCCTGGTGTTGGAATTGAACTCAGGACCTTCTTGCTGTGCAGCAACAGTGCTAACCACCGTGCCACCATGTTGTTGTGCAGCACGCAGGATAGACAGCACATAATGTGCTTTGAGGTAGCAGCCAAGAAAGGTGTAGTTTGTGTCTGTTAACACCTTTGTGCACACCTGTGTGGACCAGCACACTTGTATTCAAAAGGTTTCTCCAAGTAACAATCTGCTAGAGGGTGTGGGGAGCCATAGCTCTGTCCCCCAGGGCATGAAGCAGGCATAGGGGACATAAAGCTGATTCTTCTGTCCTCACACAGTGAGGATCTGAAATTCTTCTCTTATTTTTTTTTCAGTATTACAGTACAGTACTTTAATCCATAGTTACTGATTAATGAGGAGTTACTGAAGTACAAGCTTTTTTTGTAAAAAAAAAGAAAAGATGTCTTTACAGATGTGGCAAGAGACTAAAAACATGCTGTTGTTTGCACATATTTAATATTCAGCTCTGCACAGGAGCTGAACCCTGACAGCCGAGTGCTCATCTTAGCTAGGATTGTAGTTACGGATTAGCTTACAAACACGTTTAACTTACCGAAAAAGTGCAGCAGGGCCTCGGGTCCTTCTGTCGGGTAGTCCAGTTTACTGAAGAACACCTCAGGCTGTCAGGTTAAAACACTCGGTCGTGTTTTCGTAGCGTAAACGCTGGCCCTCCTCTCAGAGCCTACGCTCTATCTGCTATTCCCGAACAGAGATACGCAAGTTTCTCCGTGACTGCAGCTGCCAGTCAAAGCTGTTATGATGACGTTTCACCCCAATTTAACATCACCGCGGTAGGAATTAGAATCAAACTTATGGGAGAGGAGACCCCTTGAACATCAATCAGCGTGATGAGAACTATTGATAACAAAAGAAAGAATCTTTGGAAAAAAATTATCTGAGGATATTATTTTATTGTCCCATCTGCTAACACGGAGCAGGCGGGGTTTATGACCTATACCAGGGGGCGATAGGTTGCATGGTTGCACCGGTATCGATACCGGATACCGGTACCCATCCGTACTTTGGAGGGCCTGAGATGTTCCCAGAAAGGTGGAGTCTGGGATCGACCTGACATATAGACACAGACGAACAGGTGCACACAGGCACAAATGTGCACTCCCACCCTCATGCATACATCCCCTGTGCGTTTGCATGGGTTAATGAAGACCCGTTATTTTAAGAATCAGTTCAGTTCAGTTCTTTTTTATTTCAAACATATACATTCACCAACGTTTCATAAAATCATTCCATACAGTTGTTTGAAAAGGAGTAGGCAGAAGTATATACTTATTTAGCCCTACCCCCTCAGGTTTACATCCTCATCATCTAAATTTGAACAACAAAAACGTATACAATGCCTTCAACTTAGAACATAACATCTCAAAAAAATATTTTCACATGTTCAACTAAAACTATATTTAGATTTGCTAATTTGCAGAAGAAAATAAACATCAGTTTGACTGCTGTCTTGGGTTAATTGCATTTTCTTCATTCTTATACTTATTTAAAATTTCTTTTTTGAGTTTTATAAATGGTAAGTCTGAAATCTCTAGATTATTGCATATTGCCTGTTCTACATCTAGCCAAGGCTCATCTAAGGGGGTATGACATGAACGGAAGCCTGTTGGCTAAGAAGTAGTGTTGAAAGTTAGGCAGATCTAGTCCTCCTTTAAATTTGGTCCTGAACGCGGGGGTTTGTCTTTCCAAAGGAAGAAATATATGAATTCAGAGATCTGAACCAATCTTGTGATGGTTCGTTCGGGGTCATTGAAAATAAATAGTTTATTTTTGGCAAGACCATAATTTTTATAGCAGTGCTCCTTCCCATGAGTGATATGGGTAGAGATTAACATCTAGCCAGATCACCTTCTACTTTCTTTAGAAGTGGGATGTGGTTTAACTTTATTAAATCTGCAAGCTTAGGAGAGATATTAATACCTAAGTATTTAATATTTCCAGGTTGAAGTGGGGTAGAAGAAGAATTATGGAAGGAGCAATAAATTGGAAGAACTGTAGATTTTGACCAGTAAATTGAATAATCTGAAACTCTTGTGTTTGCCTCTGTGTCAGACTGTGAGAACACAGCTCTGTTATTGACGCTGGTGTCCCACCAGTTTAATATCTGTACAACTACACGGTGCAAAATATTCATTTAGTCAGTGCTTTGTTATTGGTGATCAGTTCAAATGACTTAAAGCAACATGAGCTTTTTTTAGTGCTACCATGGCAATTTAGTTATAAACTGTTAGGATTACTGTGACTGGCTAGGCCATCACTGGTATAATGAAAGCATAAAAAACCGTTAAATGGCTACAAATAGATTTGAAAGCATCAGTATGTGCTCTCTCACCTACCACAGCAACAGCTCTGCTTCTCTGAAAACTATTTTCACATAGTTGTTTTACAAAGGTCATACAGGAAGCATCTATTGGTTGGTCTCCGGCAAGACATCATGGAGGTCAGAGCTCTGTGCATCAGACTGTGTAAGTACTGTCTCAGTTTATACATGAAAATTAAACTATAAAGAGTTTGTTAAGGTTAACAATGTTGTTAAAAGGCTGTGGTTATTTAAAGCTTTCATGTAGCAGAAACCTTTGGTGACACCTTAGAAATAACAAGTACAAAGTAATGTTTCTATTCAACAACTTAACAAGGAATAGCACTATTAACTCTAAGAGTTGGCAACTCTAAAGATGTCTGAAGATGTGGGTACATCTTATAGTAACTATTTTTGGTCTTTTTAGTGATGACTGTGCTGATTCTGCTGTGTGCACATGCTCAGAAAGTTGGTGAGTAATATCTGTTTGCTTATTTATCATTTTGTGATTGGAGGAAAAGATGGCTTATTTAAACACCAAAAAGAACATTTTGGTCAATCACCACCTTTACTGGGTTTGGTCACAAAAGTTGTTATGCACATTTTATTGGTTATCACATTTTATTAATTCGCAATAACATTGAATGTTTTTTGTGTTTTGTCATTTTTTCTCAGATGCAGTTTATCTTCATATTGTTCCAAACAAATCCCAGTTTTTTGAATATGAGTCAGTTAGTTTTTACTGTGAGGAGCCTTCTCATGGAGATGTGTTATATAAGATGACAGAGGAAGCAAAGCAATGCAACAAAACCAGTGGGAAAACAACAGTAACGACAACAGGCTCAAAGTGCACCATTCATCCTCTTTATGCACGTGACAGTGGAGAATACTGGTGTGGGACAGCAGGAGGGAAGAGAAGCAAGAATATCGGCATTACTGTCACTGGTATGATTGAAAAAAGGCAATAATATTTTGTCACAAACAAACACACAAGTTCAACATTTTATAAATTTAAGTCACTTGTTGTTCAGCTGGTTCTGTGATCCTGGAGAGTCCTGCTGTTCCTGTGATGGAGGGAGATGCTGTGACGCTGCGCTGCAGAAACAAGATCCTTTCCTCCAGCATCGCAGCTGATTTCTACAAATATGGGCGTCACATAGGGAGCAGCTCAAGAGGAAACTTGACCATCAACAGAGTTTCCAAGTCTGATGAAGGACTTTACAAGTGCAAAATCTCAGGAGGTGGAGAATCACCAGAGAGCTGGCTGTCTGTCTCTGCGCCACGTCTCACAGGTGAGAAACAGCAATTTTTCAAAATATTTATACAAACGTGTGATACAAATATTTGCCTTTTCTCTTTTTGTTTTTTTCTGAAAGAGGCTTAAAGCAAAGCTGTGAAATTTGTGCAGTTAATTAATCGGTTATTTAAGAAGGTTATTTGAAATTTTTTAGAGGAGTTGATTACAAGATTTGTAACATTTTAAACATTATGTAAGTGTTAAGAAGCAAAATTAACATTTCATCTTTCTTCATACGCTCAAGATATAAATCCAACAACTAATCTAGATGGTTGCAAAGAGAAGTGCCACTATGCAGATTCAACACCTTGGATCATTGCAACTATTTTACTGAGTACTCTGGTTGTGGTGGTGGGACTCTATCTTATCGGCAAAGATATGTACAGAGGTAAAGTAAATACACACACACACACACACACATATATATATATATATATATATATATATACACACACTTTTTTTTAACTTTTTTTTATTTATTTATTTATTTTACTTTTTTTTTACTTTTTTTTTTTTTACTGCAGGCTCAAAAAGGGATCAAATGGGACAGAACACAGAACACAGTAAGAAATGCCTTTACGATTAAGGTGCACTAGCCAGCCTCCCTTCAAAACCAAAGTTATATTAAGTTTCTCATAAGAAACCTTTTTTTTATAGATAGGCATCACATTTGAAAACAGGCATGTTTGAATGTTCACTTCCTGGAATTGCACCTCAGATAAGGTATCTAATGTGAAGGTCATGATCTAGCTAATGCAGGTCAGAATAGGTTTGCTTGTTTTATAACCTGAGACATGCCTTTGGTTTTCACTTGAACTTAAATCTATTTTAGAAATAATTTCTGGAATTTTGTACATACTTGAAAATTTTTATCGTATTTTTTGCACAATAAGGCGCACTTAAAAATCTTTGAATCTTCTCAAAAATCAAAAAACAGTGCACCTTATAATCCGGTGCACCTTATGTATTAAGTCTGGTTGTGTGTACTGACCTTGAACCAATTTTATGTGGTACACGGTGCTAAAAAATCTGTCAAAAAAAATGTTTTAGTACGGCTTTGGTAAGCTACTAAGCCGCACTGCTTGATGGATTGTCGGAGCAACAGCTACTGCAGTCAGGAGCCTCGCGGAGTAATCTGGGTCCAAACTCCACTTCAGGTCAAACGATCACTGAGAGTTAAAAATTGTCTAAATTATTTCTTCTTTAATAAAATGATCAGTGTTGCTGCTTTACCAGGTGTAAAAATTAAGTTTATCATCCAGGCATCCATGAAAACAACATTTCTTAACCCTCTGGGGTCGACGGACGTGCCGGCGCGTCAAAATCACATGACCAATTTAAGATAACACAGCTACAATATGCAGCGACTCAGAGTCTCCATTTAAACTTCAAACTTCAAGACTTCAAACTATATAACAGTTGTGAATTGTGTCGATGGGCCATGTTAAAAAAAAAACCCAGAGTTATGATAAAAAATACACGCAATGTTTATTTTCTGAACAAAACAGTGGCGTTTACAGCAGGAAGAACGGTAAAAACGACGTTTTCTACAGACAGCGCTAGCAAACACTCTCTGCTTGCGAGTGAAAAAAGAAAAAGAAAAAACACCCCTTCCCTATTGGTGTTAGAGTTTACCATGTCAGCCAATCAAAAAAATGATATGGCAACATGTGGCACTTGGTTGCTTAGGGAGAAGGAGGAAGTTTTAGGAGTGACACCCGTGACGGAAAGCGGGCGAGCGAAAGAAAGAAAGAGAGCGAGTTTTCATATGTGAGACATTAGTGACGTTTAGCGTGTTGTGTAGTTATTGTTTTGTATTGCGTGTCAGTTAGACTGCTGAATTTCACATTTGCTCCAAAAAAGCCATAAAAGGCAGATTCCAGTGTAAACGCTGTTCCCAAATGCACAACTGGACTGATGCACCTCCTGCTGTCAGACCTGCAGGGTTTAGGCCTGTGGTGTTCTCCTCTGTCTTATACTGAACACAAACTATTTTTTTGGACTGGCACAAATAATTTGTGTGCCTTCTTATTTGATGCAGAACACCTGATTGTTCTGTAAATAGATTTAAATGGTTATATAAAAAACGCCTGAGGCCTTGGCTGCATTTTTAGGTAAATAGTACCATATAACTTTGTTGTTTGCAAAACTTGTGCATAATTTTTAGAAATGTACAATTTCTATTTGCATTTCAAGTTATGAAAATGATTCGTTAAACATGTTTGTGGGTTTTACAGTAAAAAATATAACTTTTTTCTACTCGGATTTTGAATTTTTTGTCTGAATTTAGATCAACTGTGCTAATATAGTATACCAAAATGAAAAAATAACTCAAATTTCAGATATTTGAGGTTGTGCTGAAAATAATGTACCAAACAAGGCAAGAAAAACATATTTTAAAGGTGAAATATAGAGGTAAAATCAAAAGTAGTCAAAAACGGCCAATTATACCCTGGACCCCAGAGGGTTAAATTATAAATGGAGTTAGAAGTTAGCAAGAAGAATGACTTGATTAAAGTTTGACTTATCTGACTGTTTTGTTTCGCTTAATGCACCTTATCGCCTATGGCACGAAAAATATGGCACTTAAAAAGCCCATGAATTAAAAAACAAAACAATACAAAAAAAGCAACAAAACATGAACTTATTTCTGTTTTTCATTTTGCATAAATAGACTAAGATTTTTTTTCATGTATTCATTTTAATCAATATGAATGTGTGGGAAAATCTAGATATGTACCTGTTCAATTCCATTTAAAGTACATAATCACAACAATTGTTAGGTATAGACCTGCAATAATACAGAGAAAACTCAAAATTAAATGATGCAATTTGACTTATTTCTGAATGTCTAAATCAAGCATGGTGTGTAGCATTTATGTTGGAGTATTTAGTGTTGTGTTTAGGAATTGTGCATAACTTACAGCTAGCTTGTGCTTAATTGCCATTGTTTCCAACACAACCTCACAACAGGGGTTGTGTTTCTTAATTTGGAATATCAGAAAACATCACACTAGTTCTGTTAAATACAAGAAAAGGCAGACATTTGTTGTAATTACTGATGTTTCTGTGGTTATCTGCTCCCTCACTGTTTGTCTCCATCAGATGAAGTTGAATTGTGTCCTGATCCAGTTTATCATTCTTTGGGCCAGGGTGACACTCAACCTCTAGGTGAGAATCATTGTGATATTATAGCATAGTCCTGTTTTGTAATAATACGATAATAATACAATAATAATACAATAATAATACAATAAGGCAATTCAGAAAAATCTGCTTAAAAAGTCAACTGCTGTCTCCCCTAGAAATCTCCATAACCCCACAGCTGTGTCATCAGTACCACTCATCTTTCAACTCTTCATTATCTTCATAGCTGCCCTCATTTCCTCCTTACTAATCCTCTGCACTTGAAGATTCACTAACTCTCCTCAATCTGCCCCCCACCGCTTTCTCATTTGCTGATCCCTTCCATTGAATGCTTGCCTACACTTATTTATTCCATCATTAAGACTCATTGTCTTCTTTTGTCTGTCCAGCAAACACTTTCTTGACATTTTACCTAACAGACCATGTTTCACCATAACCATTTTCATCATAAAAAAAAATCCTTTTACCAAATACTGCAAATAAATTACCACTTTATTGATAGCATAGTATCACATTGTTGCTGGTTTTGTTACTTAGGTGTTGTTACACGTTTTGCTTCTGTTGATTACCCCATTATATAAATTTCAGTTTGACATTATTCAGCTAAAATCCGACACTGTATTTTTGTATTCCTTTCTAATAATTATGTTGTAATTACATTGTTCTTCCTCTTTGTTGCATCTATTATTACAATTATTACAAAATATAAACAATGTTATTGCTGAGATGTGATGAAACGCGTTGCAAATAAGTGTTTAAATTACATACAGTTTTTCTAATCAACATATTCAATTCTATTTCTCTTCAAAGCAGAAACAGCAAAACCCACTGTTGATTCACCAGCTATCTGCCAACCTGTGGCAGAGGATACTTGCTATTCTACAATAATAATAAAAAAAAAAACATGCTCATCAATGAGTGAGACTGAAAACAAGTAACAAGTTACTCAGAATTATCCGGTATTGTATATCATGCATTATTTTGCAGTCAGTTAAAACTGTGTATTCTCAAGTTCTTTCTGTATTGCAGGTCTGTGTATAATGATACATAAACAATCGACAATTATTATAAATGAGAGAACAAATTTACTTCAGATTTGATGTTAATTCACTAAATAGTGTTAATTCACTAATTAAATGTAAGTAATTTGAATTCCAAATGTTAAAGTTGATCACATGCTCAATTATCTGCATGTCATTTTTTCTAGCTTTCTTTCTCAGTTACAAATGAGG